GGGCGGGGCGGGGCGGGGCGGGGCGGGGCCTGCTGACGGGCAGGCTCCTCCCTCTCACGATGCGGCGTGAAGCACGGGCCGGAACACCCTTTCCGGAACACCATTTCGGGAAGTCCACTTCGGGAACATCATTTCGGAAACACCATAAAATCGTGCTACTCTTACTGTAAATCTAGAACTCTGCGCGCTAAAATTACTCGTCATCCCATGATGCTTATCCTTACTTTTGAAAATTGTTTGTAAAATAATGACTGTCGTAGGTACTTGCGACCAAAGTGACCATAGATTTACAGTGACTTTATGAAGTTTTAATTAGTGTCGGAATATGCGGGGGAGCTTGTCACGTGACAATGGGTTTAGAAACTGCGTGCACGGCCAACGGCCAGTTCGTTGACTGGTATCACAAATTAATTTCGCATTTGCTCGGACAACTAATGCAGTTGGGCAACTGCAGGGAACGCTTCATCTGCGACTGTCACAGAATAGCTCTCGAAACGAATTATAAGCCAGTGTTCCTAATTTTCCTGTCTGTCCCCCAGGCATCTAACATTTAGCTCGCAGCTAATTTATTTTTTTCCGTGCGCTCTTTCTCCTGATTACAGTCGGAAAGTCAGTCACCGAGGCGCCTTATGTGAGGCCCCATGCGAGTATGCAACAAGCGACCGCACGCCTGCACTCGATACAGAAAAATCAGAAAGAAAGAAGGGGCCGATTGGCGGCCCTGCGTTTCATTGAATGCGGAGAACATTATTGAAAATCGAGAACACATTTCGCGTTTTTCTGGGTGTACTTACAGGGATGGAATGTGCTAGCGGCTCACGTCGTGGCCGCATTCTCGCCGCGAATGAGATCAGCTGCTTCTGAGGATGTACACAGGTCGTCAGCGGTTCCAATTCGCCAGTCTCGTCTGAACCGCTCCAGCACACCTTGCCGCGGAGTGCGGAGTGTAGCGAGGCGCGCGGGACTCAGAGAGCGGCTGCTGTCTGGGGTCGGGGGGACTCGCACAACATCCGCCTGCAACAAAGGGAAAATCAAATTATACCTCGGAGGAAACATGAAATAATATACAACATATCATTCATAACTAGCAGCTCGCTACACTTCCTGTAAGAAGACACCCCGGTGAGAGATATAGCCCGCGGGGCGGGGCGGGGCGGGGCGCGGCGGCGCGGCGCGCTAGTGTAGCCATTGTGCTCGCGCTACGCTACGCTCCGCTCCCCGCGCCGCGCGCCCCCTCCGCGACGCCCCCGACCGCGGCCGGCCGAGGGGGGGTCGCCGCGCCGCCATTGGCCGCGGGTGCCGCCGCGTCCCCCCACCACGGCGCGGCCGGGCCAATGGCGGGCGCGCTGGGCCGCGGGAGGCTGGAGGCATCCCAGCTGGAGCCGGAGCGGGAGGAGGAGGAGGAGGAGGAGGGCGAGGAGGAGGACGCCCTGGCTGGAGGCCGTGGTCGCGGGTCGGGCCGGCGGCATCACTCCTCGTCCGACCGTTGCCGCGCGCGTACCGCCCGTGCCGTGCTGCTCCAGTGCGTGAGCACGCCCGCGTGTGCCTGTGTGTGTGTGAGGGTGCGTGTGAGTGCGGCCTGTTGCCGAGGGCTGGCCCGCGAGGCGCCCACAGCCCCGCCCTGCTTCAAACCATGGCCATGTCCGGCATGGACATGTCGGCCGGGATGGACATGACGGCGGCGCTGGCCATGTCGCAGCACCCGGTGCTCGGCGGCATCCCGCCCGCCTTCTTCCTGCGCGCCTCGGAGCGCTACCAGCGCACGCCCAAGTGCGCCCGCTGCCGCAACCACGGCGTCGTCTCCGCCCTCAAGGGCCACAAGCGCTACTGCCGCTGGAGGGACTGCGTGTGCGCCAAGTGCACCCTCATCGCCGAGAGGCAGCGCGTCATGGCCGCCCAGGTACGAGACAGTGTGACCCTTCTGACCCCGACCAGGTCATCGTGACAGCGGGTCCAGCGGGTCGTCCTTGACCCTGCCCTGCCTTCGGACCTCCACAGCGTGTTGTCACCCGAGTCTGGGCCCTCTTCGTCACACAGTCGGCGGGCGGCGGAGGTCCAGTCACCGCCTCGCCCCTGGGAGGTGGGCCTCCACGCGGCACCGGAGCTCGACGGGACTGCCCGCCCTCCAGGGGCCCAGCGACTGACTGTGCCGCCGGCGGTAGAGGACTTGTGGAGCATTCTGCCCCTCCCCCCTCTCACTCTTGACTTCATAACAAGGATTTTCATACGTCGACCGTGTGCGTGCGTGCATGAGTTTGTGAGCATGTGTGCGTGTATGTGTCGTGACTGTCCAACTGCACGCGGAGGTCCCACAGTTAGGCCTGCGCGCGCGTGTCAGTGTGTGACTGTGTATGTCTGTTCGTGTGTGTCTGTTCGTGTGTGACTGTCTGTGTGTCTGTTCGTGTGTGTCTGTGTGTCTGTCTATGTGTCTGTTCGTGTGTGTCTGTCTGTGTGAATGTCTGTGTGTCTGTTGGTCCGGCGCGTGGCGGTGCGTGGCGCGAGTAACGAGCGGCCGGGGCTGGAGAGCCCTCCACTCGAGTCCACGTGTGGTCCTCGCGTGTGCGCCGCGTGCTGCTGGCCACCCCACCCCGCCCCGCCACGCCCCGCCATGCTGACGGTGTTCTTGTTGCAGGTGGCGCTGCGCCGCCAGCAGGCCCAGGAGGAGAGCGAGGCCCGCGAGCTGGGCCTCATGTACGCGTCGCCGCCCGGCTCCAACCCGGGTGCCAACGGCGGCGGCGGCGGGGGCGGCGCGCCCGTGCTGCCCGGGGGGCCGTCGCCGCCCCTCAGCCTGAGCGCGCCCGGGCCGCTGGGCACGCCGCCGGGCGCCGCCTCCACCCCGGCGCACGCCGCCGACCTGGGGCCGAGCCTGGGGCTCGCCGGCCTGCTGCAGCCCAGGGGCGGCGCCTCGCAGCCCGCCTTCCCCGGCGTGGAGCCCGGCAGTCCCAACAGTGAGTACTACCTCGTACTACCTCGCACTACCTCGTACTACCTCGTACTACCTCGTACTACCTCGTACTACCTCGTACTACC